TTCTGTATACTGCATTTCTAAAATCTGATAAGCTATGTGATACTAAAACATCACACCAAAAATGTACCCGGAATAACCGTACTCTTAAATCGATTAATCTCGATATACATAGCAAGGTTATTCAATTCTGAAATTCTGGTCGTATGCGCGCAGAGCTATAAAATGGTCATACACTATGGAAATACATTCACAATAATGCAGAGCGGGTAAAATCACTATACTGATCATACGCTGTGGAAACACATTCACACCAGCGCAGAGTGGGTAAAATAAACATATGAAGTCATAAACTGTGGAAACACATTCACACCAGTGCAGACGAGGGTAAAATCACTTGGGTACTTTCTGGTGGTTTTAAAATAACTTTGAATAAACTGAAATAGTTAATACTGAAATAATATGTCAATGAAAGAATTTAACTGAACTGAATTTAACTTTTAAAAACATTTGATAATAAAATTCGTTTTATTCTGAAAAATCATGCTATCAACTCAACTTATAAAATATGTAACTTCAAAATTAAATAAATACTTATTTCTAAAAAAATAAGCTTATCCACTCACATAATACAAGTTGAACCTAAGATGGTCGATAGGCTCTTCCAATCTCCTCGTCACCACCTGGAATATATAACAAGATGACTAATCAATCACTATTAAATTAAGAAACTTTAAGATCTACTTCTATAATACTTAACTAAAATTGGTCGATGCTCAAATGAATTTCCCAAATATTCTTTTGATCAATTGGAGCTAATCCCACTTTCTAATCCCTTTTCTAATAATTAATTCATTAGCAAAACCTTCTTCCCAAGTTTAAAACTAATTTTAGTCTCCAATCTAGTGAAACTAGTAACCACAATTCCACCAATTTAATATACATTTGTTCCATAAAATCAACTCCCAAGTGAAATATTCCATTTATATAATCGTTCCCACAAATAATTAATCAAAATCCCAAAATCGAATTCTAGGGTTTCCCAAAAAAAAAATTGACATCTCCTTACCTTAATGTAGATAGAAATTCAAGAATCAATAACTTGAGCTCCAAGTAGTATTCCTCTCAAAAAAAATCTGAAAACTTCGAGCCAAAATAAAACCCTAGAATTTTAACATAATTCATACTTTATCACTTGAAAAAAAGGGAAAAATTCAACCCAAGCTTGAAGAAATTAGCCTTACCTCTTTTCCTCTTCTTCCCCTTTTTTTTTCCTTCCTTCTTTCCCTTTTTCCCCTAATTTTTCTCTCTTTTTGGGTCCAGCTTGCTGCCCGTTTCTTACTCTGTGTGTGTGATTTGGAGTGAAAAATGGGTCAAATGTTGAATATAAATTCCACTTATTCAAAAATTGCAAGGAAAGTCCTCCAACTCCATTTTTATATCACATTTAATCCTAAACTTCCAAAAATATATAAGTAAAATCCAAACTTTGAAATGTATCCAATTTAACCTTCATATTTTGTCAATTGCAAAATAAACCCAAATAAATGATTTGGTCAATCAAGTCCCAATAAAAATGATTTATTTCATACAAGTCCTCATTTGACTTGACTTTGAAAATTTCACTATTGACTTTGACTAGATAAAAATGTGGGTTGTAACACTAATTGTACCTTGCCACGTGGAAATACAAAAGGCGGTTTTGAGAAAATTAATAACCGAGTTAAATGTTTGTCTCATTTGATCTTCCAGATGGGGGCAATGAATTTGTCGTAACCTTTTCGCACAGATGTTATTTTATATATAACATGAACTTTGATATTTCAGTTGTCGTATTTCAGAACATGCGTTCATATTCTTTCTTCCAAGAATTTCATTGGATTGTCGTACTACGTTAAGCCCGATTTTCTTTCACATTTGACACAGACTCTCAAGCTAGGAAAACTTGTTCAAGTTATGAACCAAGAAATTATAAACACTACTGTTGTTGAACATGATTTTAAACTTGATAACGGCGAAGAATGATAAATTATGAACCAAGAAATTATAAACACAACTTCGGATGGTGCTAACCTTGAATTATTATCTCGTTTAATAACTTTAATTAAAAAATTAACTTGTTGGAAACAAGTCAAATTTTGACTTCATGTAAAATTCATTTTTTCATCGATAGTCTAACATGCAAAAGATCGCACAAAAATATAGGAGTATACCTCTATCGCATAATCTTTTTTAGATATTGAATCATTACATTTAAAAAATTTCACTTTATGAAAGATGCAAGAGTGAGTGGAGAGGAAGGTGTTTAAAAAATATTTACCTTTTCTAACTAACCTATCGAGAGAGACGCGTACGGGTGACATATATTAATTTGACTTTATGGAAACTTTTAAATTTTCTGTTATAGTTAATTATGCATTTGGGTCCCGCAAAATTTAATTTGACTTAGAAAGTTACGGCTAAATACAATACTAAGTTATAATTGAAGACTATTTTGTAATTTGGCAAAAGCGCACTCATGCAAGGTGGTCCAGGCACAGACTCAAAATTTATTCGGGTTTTGTCTAGGCTAGTTTGCAAATTGAAATTTATTTTTCTCCTTCTGTATAAAAATAGAAGTTAAATTAAAAATAGATTAAAGGTAACAAACTGATGTAACGAAAATATTATAGGGAAGATGAACAATCACAAATTGAGAAAATTCTCAAGGAAGATTTTATTGAATTCAAGAACTGCTGCCTCTAAGGGCTTACAACTGATTAAATAGAAGAAAAACCTAGGAGAATCCGGAAAATAAAATAAAATAAAATAAAGATATTTTTTTTCCAAAAATGGAAAATATGAGATAATTACTAAGATGGAAAATACTTATCTTCAGGATCATCCCCCAACAAATGAAATCTAAATCCGAATTTCATGGAAAGAGATATTGCAAAAATGAAAATTACCATAAATAGCAAAAACGATTAAACCAGAGCCTAAACGATGGATTTTGCCCGAAATTGGCCTTGCGTCAGGGCCGAAGGCGCTGAGTTTTATTCCTTGGCTCGACTCCAATCAAATTAGACTAGCGATTTACCAAAAAACGAGCAAACCCAAAGTCATCATGAAATCATTTGCCTCTTTTTGCCAACTTTTGCCTTGTGATGGTCCAATTTTGCCATGAACTCTAATCCGTTATGCACTTCATCATTCTTCCCAGGGTGGGAAAAATTCGCCCTCGAATTTGACGGGAAAGGAGCTTCATCATCATCATCAGAATTATCACCATGAAATGGCACCAAATGCTTGATATTGAACACGTCGGAGGTACGAATATAGCTGGGCAGCTTTAAACGGTAAGCATTCGGATTGATCTTCTCAATGACCTCCAATGGACCAATCTTCTTCGCAGTAAGCTTGTTGTATTCATGAGCAGGAACACGATCCTTTGTTAACACCGCCCAAACAAAGTCACCTACCTCAAACTCAACATGTCGGCATTTGAAATCCGCAGCACGCTTATACTTAGCGACAGCAGCCTGCAGCTGATCATGAGCCTGTGAGTGAACCTGTTGCAGTTGTTGAATAAAGTCTTCGGCCTTACCATGCATTTTAACAGAAGTAGAAACTGGAACCAGATCAAGAGGACCACGAGGAACAAGGCCATACACCACCTGGAACGGACTAAAACCTGTACTTCGGTTAACAGCATGATTGTGAGCGAATTCTGCTTGACACAACTTCTGATCCCAAGACTTGATGTGATCACCAACCAAACAACGTAGTAAATCACCTAAGGAACGGTTAACAACCTCTGTTTGACCATCTATTTGAGGGTGATATGCACTGCTGAAGTCCAGCCGTGTATTCACAGAGCGCCATAGGCTGCGCCAGAAGTGGCTGAGGAAACGAGTATCCCAATCGGACACAATAGATGTAGGCAATCCATGAAGGCGATAAACTTCACGAAAATACAGTAAGGCTACATTGACAGCATCTGTAGTCTTCTTGCAGGGGATGAAATATACCATTTTTGAAAACCGATCAACCACTACGAAGATTGAATCAAAACCACGCTGGGTCCTGGGAAGTCCCACAACGAAATCCATGCTCACATCTGTCCAAGGTTGGGTTGGGATAGGTAGGGGCATATACAAGCCCGCATTGGTCGCTTTGCCCTTAGCCAAGTGATAAATCCGACAACGCTCCACGAACTTGCTGACATCTTTGCGCAATGATGGCTAAAAGTAAGAAGCAACAACAAGCTGCAATGTTCGATCACGACCTACATGGCCCTCATTATGCAACTCTTGAATGATCTTCAACCTCAAACTGCCCTCTGGAATACACAACTGATTGCCATGAAAAAGAAAACCATCAACCCATGTAAACTCCGACTGCACACCCTCTTGCAACTTCTGGACAACATGGGAAAAGTATGGGTCAGTAACATATAAGTCACACAACCTGTCAAAACCTGGAACCTCCACTCGCATTTCTGTAAGGAGCGTTTGGCGCCTACTCAACGCATCCGCAATTTTGTTAAGGGTACCTGCCTTGTGCTTGATCAAAAAAGTAAACTGCTGTAGATAAGCAATCCAAGAGGCATGTCGAGCAGAAACCTTATCCTGAGTACCAAGGTGCTTAAGGGCATCATGATCCGTATACAAAATGAACTCCTTATGGAACAAATAGTGACGCCAATGTCGAACGGCCTGGACTATTGCATAGAACTCCACATCATAAGTACTCTATCGAGACTTTGAGCCAGAAAGCTTCTCACTGAAATATGCAACAGGGCGGTTGTTCTGACTCAGCACACCACCAATACCCACTTTCGAAGCATCATAATGCAGCTCAAATGGTTGGGTAAAGTCAGGTAACACCAAAACTGGAGCAGTAGTCAACTTCTGCTTAATCAATTGGTAAGAAGACTCTGCCTCGTGAGTCCACTGAAACCTACCATCCTTCATGCAATCTGTAATTGGTGCCATGATGCTACTGAAATGCGGTATGAACCTACGATAGAAGGAAGCAAGGCCATGAAAACTCCGCACCTCAGTGACAGTCTTAGGCTGTGGTCACTGACTTATCGCCTCTACCTTAGATGTATCAACTGCTAACCCCACCTTCGACACCACATAACCCAGGAACACCACATTATCAGTGAGAAAGGAACACTTCTTCACTGCAACATAGAATTTATCCCACCGAAGAACTGAAAGAACTTCCCGAAGGTGTCGAACATGTTCATCATCGTTAGCACTATAAATTAAAATATCATCAAAGTAGACCACAACAAATTTACCGATGAATGGGCGAAGAGCCTGATTCATAACCCGCATAAATGTACTGGGCGCATTTGAGAGGCCGAAGGGCATGACTAACCACTCGTACAATCCTTCCCTCGTCTTAAATGCGGTCTTCCACTCATCCCCACGTCTGATCCGAATCTGATGGTACCCACTCTTCAAATCAAGCTTGCTAAACACACAAGCACCGGTAAGCTGATCCAACAAGTCATCTAGGCGGGGAATAGGAAAGCGGTAACGCACCATAATCTTATTGATTGCCCTACTATCCACGCACATGTGCCACATGCCATCCTTCTTCGGTGTGAGAAGAGCGGGAACAGCACAAGGACTAAGATTCTCCCTGATGTGTCCTTTTGCCAGAAGCTCCTCAACTTGCCTGCGCAACTCTTCATGCTCAGTGGGGCTCATTCTGTAATGCGCCCGATTAGGTAGGGCAGCTCCAGGAACCAAGTCAATCTGATGCTGAATATCCCACAGTGGTGGTAGTCCATCAGGAAGCTCTTCTGGGAAAACTTCATGAAACTCCTTTAGCACTGGCTGAACTGCGAGAGGGACTTCATGCTCACTGTCAACCGACTTTCCAATCAGCACATACACTACCCCAGACTCCTCCATCTCTGTCTCGAACTTCTTTCTGGTCAGTAAATTGGCATTGTTCCCAACTGTCTGTACTGAACCCTTATCCGGTAGTAACACAATTTTCTTTCCCCCAAACAGAAAGCTGTACGTGTTGGTATATCCATCATGCAGTGAGTGCCTGTCAAACTGCCACGGCCTCCCTAATAGTAAATGACATGCATCCATCTCTACTACATCACATAAGACTTGATCCTTGTAGGTAGGTCCGATGGAGAAGCTGATTCTAGCACATTGAGACACTTCTACGCCATTGCCTCTTTTCAGCCAGGCTAATTTATAAGGTTTGGGATGTTTCTCAGTCTGCAAACCCAGCTTCTTAACGACCTCCTCAGCCACCACATTCTCGCAACTACCAGTATCAATAACAAATTTGCACACCTTCCCTCCAACGGTATATGTTGATTGAAAGATATTATTACGCAACCAATCAGTATTATTCTCCAAAGGAGTCAGGAAACTCCTCCTCACCACCAGTGCCTGACCCACATCACCAACCACAAACTCTTCCTCTTTTGTTGCTTCTTCTTCGCCCTCACCGTCAAATACAGGCGGACCTTCATAATCGCCATTTCCCTCATCAACAAAGAGTTCCCTGCGCGGATTCTTTGGACACTCAGACTGCCTGTGGCCTGTAACTCCGCATCCAAAACAACGAATACCAACCCCAGGACGTGTTGATTGTTGGGTAGGATTTGTTCTAGGAGGACCAGATTGAGCAGGATTACCAGGACGTGCCACCTGCTGTTGTGGGTTACTAGAAGAACTCCTTGCAATGAAAGGACTAGTAGTTTTCATGGACTGTTGCTTCTCTATTTGTATTGCCCTCTGATGTGCTTAAAAAACTGTCACAGGATCAAACATATTCAGAGTATCCTGTATTTGGGGACGAAGACCACCCACGTACCGTGACACCAACTGCTCCTCCATCTCCATCATCTCGTTTCTCGTAATCAACATATAAAAATCCGTGGTATAGTCACTAACCATTTTCCCACCTTGACGCAGATTCTACAGTTGTTGGTACATGGTCCGTACATAATTATAAGGCAGAAATTGTTTCTTCATATGTTTCTTCAATTTGTCCCACGATGCAAGCTTAGGTTTCCCCAGCCTGAATCTTATCATCTTAGTCTGCTGCCACCACGTCGCTGCTCACCCTCAAAGCCTCGTTGCAACGAGAGGCACACATTTATCGGCAGGAACCTCTTTAAACTCCAATACCTCCTCCACTGCAGTCACCCAATACAAGAATTCCTCTGGACTCAACCCACCATGAAATTCTGGAATATCCACCTTAAATCCTGATTCCCAACGTCGGTTGTCCTCCTAACCACCCCTTCTCCGGTGAACTGGCAGATCCAATGGTTGTTCAAGCGGTGCAAACGGATTCTCATCATCAGAATCTCCAAGCTGTTGACCTGTACGCGCAGGCTGCTACGGCATAAGCGCAGCGATCTGCCGTGTCAGCAATTCCACTTGTTGACGTAGCTGTGCGACTTCATCACGTCTATGTACCTCCTCTACCGGGGCATCACGGGGTTCAGGACGTCTCCTTGGCGGCATGGTGAAGGAACGATTTCGGCTCTGATACCAACTGACGTAGCGGAAATATTATAGGGAAGATGAACAATCACAAATTTAGAAAATTCTCAAGGAAGATTTTATTGAATTCAAGAATTGCTGCCTCTAAGGGCTTACAACTGATTAAATAGAAGAAAAACCTAGGAGAATCCGAAAAATAAAATAAAATAAAATAAAGATATTTTTTTTCCAAAAATGGAAAATATGAGATAATTACTAAGATGGAAAATACTTATCTTTAGGATCATCCCCCAACAAGCGGAATCTAAATTCGAATTTCATGGAAAGAGATATTGCAAAAATGAAAATTACCATAAATAGCAAAAACGATTAAACGAGGGCCTAAACGATGGATTTTGCCCGAAATTGGCCTTGCGTAAGGGCCGAAGGCGCTGAGTTTTATTCCTTGGCTCGACTCCAATCAAATTAGACTAGCGATTTGCCAAAAACGAGCAAACCCAAAGTCATTATGAAATTATTTGCCCCTTTTTGCCAACTTTTGCCTTGTGATGGTTCCATTTTGCCATGAACTCTAATTCCTTATGCACTTTATCCCAAACTAAATAAAATATATGTAAAGTGCATTCATATAGGCACAAGAAAGATGTGGATATGGATATTAAATATTGACTAATTATATATGAATTAATGATCTCTTTCATTTTTTTTTTTGTCTAGTTTTACTTTTGCTCCACGAGGACCAAGATCAAATAAATGCACAGTCTATTTCCGTCAAGCGAAGAAATACTTTAAACCTCTCAGAAACTAATGATTGATTTGGAGAGATAGATATTGTCGATTTATCATTATCAAGAGAATCAATATTGTTACAAAATAAAGGATAAAGAGGTCGACTGATGAAATTTTTGTCCTTATTTCAACAAAGGAAGCACAGCTCAATAACAACGAATATAATTACCCCATACAATATAATTGAAACTACACTTCTTCAATTCCAGTAAATACAGATTATAACCAGTAATCAAGCGAGATAATTGCCTTTTCAACATAGCTAAAGAAGAAACAGAAGAAATTATTGTGATATAATTGATAAGTAAATGATGAAGAGTTATATGCATTTCAAATTCTCAATTGTTTTTGCTTTAATATTAACATCCATTGTGCAATCCATTTTTGCTGTCTTCTTCTTCTTAATGACTTCCAACAGATGAACTTTCCCATGTAAGGTTGCATTACCGCTCAATGGAATCTTACCTGAATTTATATCACGTATCAAAGTTGAAGAGGAAGAAACCTTCTTTGAATCCACAGAGATGGTGATGTTCATTTTCTCCGTCGATCGAGCTTTGGCACGTCTTTTCGGAATGTCTGACTCACCCACAAGAGTACCCTTGTAGAATATGGAAATTGGGCTATCAGGAAATTTGAAGTGCCCAAAATTTGTGTTCTTGACTGTAACTTGAGCAGAAAGTTTCATGCTGAAGGATGGTGAACCGGGTGAATTTGCAATAATATTTTCTACAGTAAGAGCCCTGAACCGGACCTTAGGGTTTCTTATGCGTAAAAATATCAAAACAAAGACTAACATAATTAGCATTTGCAGTATGATCCCTGCAATTATATAAGACAGACATTTCCGGCGATTCGCCGATGCTGGATTTTTGTTCCCAGTAAACATTTTTGCAGATGATAAAATGAGAAGAAGTGAAATTTGTGGCAGAGTTTCGAAGAATACTTCTTTTTATACCAAGAATTATATTAAAGAGTGTAATTGTTATAAAGGCCTACTTGTTCTTGCTTTAATCATTCTTTTAGCTTTTTAACTGGCCAGTTGATTTGTATTAATTTCGATAAATTACTTAATTTTTCAGTAGATAAGTGGTTATTATGAGTGAAAATTAAGTAAAAGCAGTGAATAAAAGATTTAGAATGATAAAGACAATATGATTTATGAGCTGCAGTAATTTAGTTATCTCTTCTATTCCTTCCTTTTCTGTTTGGAGATGCTCATTTCAAAATTTTGACTAGGAAAGCAAATTATTCCACGATTGGTAGCCCCACGTCTCTTCCCGTTTTCCATTTAAAAAATGTTTTTATTCCAAGTATATATAAAATGTGAGTGTGTATTAAACTATTAATCAATGTCACGGACAGTAAAATTTGTATAATAATTACAAGATGTCGAAAATGAGGTAGGCTTCCTCGAAATTCGTACCAACATGAGCACGTGTTTTAATTTTTATAATCAGATAAAATTTCAAGTCCAATTCCACAACTTAGAACCTGTTTGTGAGTGATTTTGAGAATTGATTTTTTGACCGTTAGGAGAAAATTGGGGTCCACCTGTGAGAGAATAAGCTAAATATAATGACTGAAATAGTGAAATAACGATAAAAAAATCATTTTTTTGGGCTAAAAAATCACTCCCAAATAGGCTGTTAATTAAGTGGTATTATTATTATTATTATTATTATTATTATTATTATTATTATTATGCCTAAAAAGTTGGACACTTCGAAAATGACATGACAATTTTAAGTATTTTCAATCCATCCTATCTCAGTGATTACTTTTTGTTCCAAAAGGAAAAGGATTTTGAAGCCAAATAAATTACCTACAATGGAAGTAAACATGTTAGTAGCATAATATTCTTCCAAAAGGTCTAAAAGACAATATCTTCCGTTTCATCCAAACAGAATTCGAAGTATTGGCCTTATCGGATAGAATGCCTTTATAATACTTCGTCGGCAAGGCATGGACATGTTGAAAAAACCATGCCTTACGAAGTTGAGTCGCACAAGTTTGAAATATTCCAAAGCAACATTTTAGAAAAAAATTTAGTCCTGATTTGGTAGATATTAAAATCAGATTTTTAGTAATTTTTGATGAAAAGTTGTGAATCGTATGAAACATATGATTAATTTTGATTTATCTTAGAATATTAATTTTAAGCCCAATAACCATCCTATTACAAATGTGATGTAATTGTCAGAAAAAAAGCTATGGTAGTTTTCAGTTTTTTGGCCCACGGCGAGTACATTATTTGCCATATTTTTTATTAATGTTTTCGGTCTACTGTTATATTTATCAAATAATTGATGAAATTAAATCTTTTTGTTACCAAGTCGTATGACATTAGACGTACCAGAGTTTTTTTTTTTTAATCGTAATTTATTGAATCAAACATTTTTTTAATTATTATAATTAAAATAACTGAAAAAGAAATCTCTTATATGATGTTCTTGGGTTCCTAAAGCAAAATTGTTGAAGAGACCTTTTAAAATATAAAAACTGATGGACTAAACAATGATCGATATTACCATCAGATTTCGACTTTTATACTACTGTTGGTGATCAAGTAAACATCATGAAACCAAATGAAAGCAGTAAAAAATTGTAATATTTAAGATAAAAATGTAAAAACTCCGAGCATCACAATTATTGTGTCACGGGGTTTTTGTTTTCTTAAAGATTCTGAGCATGGAAAGAACTATTACTCATTTTGATAATTATTTAGGATTTGCGGTCATCGATGATCAAAGACCATCCTAACTCGTCGAAATTCTGGATCCGCCAATATTTCGGAGGAAAATGTGTTTTGAAATAGTAATTTTTCAGAGAATGTGCGGTTAAATATAAGAAAAAAGTTTAATTTCACGTATAATATTATTTTATGAAAGAATAATTTTTTGAAAAAATGGAACCAAAAAGGGTTAACTTGATGCCATGCGTACTAGTGGTCAGGTGCATCACGGACGAACGCCTATTTAATTCCCATTTTGTCATTAATTTACTGTTAGGCAACCACGTGACCTCTCAATGCCATGCAATATTGACCATTTATGCACTATTTGGGAAGAATTACAACTCCCAAGTGAACTAGATTTTAGTTTTTCAAAAAGCAATTATTTAAACAAAGTTAAAATCTTGAAAATTTGCTTTTTTTGTCAATGATCAATGTACACAAAAGAAGCAAACAATGTAAGAAAAGACGACTCTTCCACAAAGGTTGAAGAAGAAGCTTTATTTAAGATGATTTAAGAGTCAAGAAACGACTGTTTTTAAAAACAACAAGATATATTGCTAGAAAGAAGAGAGCAATGTTGCAAAGTCAAATTTTTCATAGCCACGATGTTCAATTATGAACAAAGTTTAGGTGTAGAAGTACCAAAAATCATTAATTTGTACATTTTGAATATATATATATATATATATATTTTTTTTTTTTTTTTTTTTTTTTTTTTATTAAATTTATTTTTATATGTTTTTAAT